AGATACGTAGGAAATAGCCCCATCTCTATAGCATCGGTCATGTGACTGAGTGGGCGTGGCCAACTTGACATCACTCACAGCAAGGTGCCGCTTTACCTTGCTGTGAGTGATATTGAGTTGGCCACACCCACCCAGTCACATGACCATCTAGCCAAGCCTACCAAGCCCAGAGAACTGGCGATGGTAAATTTTGAATCCCACCATTGAATTGGGCCCACAATACTTGCTGATGTCATTTGATCTTGTTTTATCTCTCTTTTGTGGATGCTTTTTATCAAGTGGGATCCATTCTATGACTGCCTTGGTCCACCTGCCATCAGTTCTTGCTATGTGACCAGCTATTTCCATTTCAATTCTTTTATTCTCTTGATCAGTGATCCCCAACCTTTTTTACTCCGCGGCCCGGTACCGGCATCAGCTGGGCGCCGCGGCCCGGTACCGGCATCAGCTGGGCGCCGCCATCTTTTTTTGATGAAAAAGTGCTTCCGGTGACCTCACCGGAAGCGCTGGCGCCGCCATCTTTTTTTGATGAAAACGTGCTTCCGGTGAGCTTTCTACCCGGAAAAGCTCACCGGAAGCACTTTTTCATCAAAAAAAGATGGCGGCGCCAGCAAGCCAGCGGCCCGGTAGGACTTGTTCCGCGGACCGGTGGTTGGGGACCCCTGCTCTTGATGATACTGTAAACTTTCATATAACTATATACAGGTCTTTTTATCTTGTCTTATAATGCTGAGCATTTATCTTTCCATGGCTCTTTGTGCCATTCTTAGCTTTTGTATCGATTGTGAGTTTAGTTCCATGCTTTATTGACATAGCAGGTAGCATACACTGATCAAAAACTTCAGGCATAAGGGAAGGTTGTTCTTGAAAATTATGCTTAGCTTGCTGAATGCCGGCCAACCCCATTTAACATGCTATTCAATTTCCTTTATTGTGTCACCTTTCATTGAGATCCATTAGCCAAGGTATATATAGTGCTCTATGTCTAGTTCTTCTCCAGATATAACAAATGTTCTTTCTTTGGTTAATTTATTAAACATAACCTCTCATTTTCAGGTTTATTTTTAAGCCAAATGGTTTTCCTGTTTTGTGCAACTCTTGTATATGTCTTCATAGCTCTTCTGGGTTAGGGTTAGGGTTAGGGTTAGGTCTTGTGAGAAGAGAACTGTCAAGATTGATTCATTCTTTCACCTCCATTTTCTCCTCTCACAGCTTGACAAAAAAAAGGCGGTGATTGAATGGAATGCAAAGGTGGGGGTGGGGCTGATATCTAAGTAACTGAGGTATCTCTGGTACCTCTGGTTTTCAAAGATGCTAAGTGTGGCTAGCTGTTTTCTCATAACAGAATGAACAGAAGTGATTGGTGGTCATAATGGACTGTGGGTGGCTCAGAGGGAAAGGAGGAAATAACTATACTTATGTTTGCTCTGGAAATCCAGAGCTGGTTTCATTTCTGTGCCAGTGTAGTTTTTCATTAAAGTATTATACTCTTGTAAAACTATGTCCCAGGAGTTTCTTTTTCTTCAAATGCCAATTGAACAGTTGAAAAAGAAAAATATTATTTGCAAATCTTAAGTGATTTAAATAGGCACCTTTGATTTTTATTCCAACTTTTGCCCAATCTAGTTTGTGAAATACTTCTTCAAGGCAGATTGAGAAAAGGATAGGTGATATAGTATTGCCTTGTCGTACACCTTGTTCTAAGTTGATTTCTACTTTAAGATAATTAAGGCAAATTATTGCCATTGTTTTTTCATATTGATTCAGTAAATTTACATAAGCAATATTGGAATATTATGTAATTGATGTCATTTTCTTTGGATGGAATTCATTGTGGATTGATGGCCCTGTCAGAATTGGACAAATTGTGATTTTTAAATATAACTTGGCTTTTACAGTAGATCTTTTAAACTTTATACTTTTGCTATACATCCTGTTTACAGTGTAAACTGCCAAAAGTCTATTATAGATTTGAAAGGTGTTTTTTTTTAAACAAATTTTATTAATTTTTAAAAACAATACACAGACAAACAAAACATAGAATATAAAAACATAAGACATCTTTTCTGAAAAACAAATAAAACATCTTATTTAAAGGCAACATAATTCCAAATTATCACATTTCCATACAAGCACAATTTAATATGCATATTTATCTTATATAATTTATATAATATCTTATATAATTTATCTTATATTATTCTTTTATTTTTCTTATATGTACCCATTTCATGTATTCACAACTATGTATACGCTTATACTTATTATCTTGTAAACAATTGGCAAATCAAATAAATAAATAAATAAATAAATAACTTCATATCTTTTCCCAATCCCTTTCCTTCTATTCAATTATATTTCTTTTGCCTTGATTTGTATATATTCATTGTATCCATCTGTCTTATTTGCAATTTCATTATTCCAACATTCTTCTAGAGTTTTATTAATTCAAACATAGACAAACAAAACACAAATACATAAAACTTAACCCCGGGTTACATCTTTTTGTACAGACCTAAATCAAATTCATGCTCACTTAATATACTATTTCATATCTTATTTAACATTCTATATTTTCTGTATATTTTCTCTCTTCTATTCACTCTCTTAATTCTATTTTATTTATTTCATCTCAGTTTAGATAATTATACTTGTATCTTTTGTCCGTTCTCTTTCAATTATCTATTTATCTTTTCTTTCTAATACAATATTTCTCCTGTAATCACTGGTTGAAGTATGACAACTTTTTATCTTTCCCCTAAATTTGACACTTAAAATAATACATACTTTCCATACTGATTCTGCTTAGTACATTCTAAGTACTACATTTTAGAATAGTAAAACAAAAGAAGAAAAATAAGTTTATAATATAGTAAAAACAATGTTCCATAGGAAATTAAACTCTATTGTTAAATCTTAGACATTTTTATACATTCCTTTTAATGTATTATTAACTCATATAATATTTCAGTTTTCTAACTCGATTTCAAATACTAATATCTACAATACAGTCTTATGTACTTTTGCAGAATCTTTTTTTTTTTAAATTATATTTTATCCTTTGTCTCTGAAAAAAACCTGTTTTTTAACATCTTGTTTTAAGCCTTTATGACTTCTCTTTCCTTTTTCCCTTCCTTTCTTATCAATTCTAGTCTTTTTGCCCCCCCCATCTCTCAAACTCCACTCTCTTAGTCTCCCCTCTCTGTTGTATTCCTCTTTTCTGTTGCTTTCTGACATTGTATCGATTTTTCATCTTATTTTTCCCTTTCTTGGTTGCATTTTCTTTCCCCCCTTTCTCTTTTCTTCCTCAACTAAGATTATTTGTCCATTAAAGATGGCTTCTTCTTCTTCATCCCAGCCTTCTTGTTGTTGTATTTCTTGGTAGGTAGAAATTGCCATTTCTAAAAAGTGAAAAATAGATCCCTTGCCTTCTTGTTCCTCTTCTTTTAGCTTTTGAAGTTCCATTTGCAATTCTTCAACAGATAATGCCAATTTTTTAAAAAAACAACTCAAATGTTTTTAATCTTTCAAGAAATAGTTCCCAAAAGTCACAAAGTCACAAAGCAGTCCAGATCAAGACAAACTATTTCATTAGCACTTTCTTCTTTTTATATTTTCTCTTCCTGGGGTAGAATTCAATTACATAGTTCCAAAATAATTTTTTAGAAGTCTTATTGCCATTTATTTCTGGTCTTATAAACTCCAAGCAGTCTCCTCCAGTACAATCTTAAAATAAGTTCTTTACCTCTTCCTTCCTATAGCAAAAAGATTTTAATTTTTAATTTCAATGTTCAAAAATATTTTATCCCCTTGGCTTTAATTTTCAAGTTTAATTACCTTCTGTGCCCAAGCAGGTTTTTCAGATTTCCATCTGCTATTTCCATAGGGAAGGAGAGTGAGAGAAAATAACTTTCCCTTTCAACTTTCTTCCGCCGCTGTTACAGTCTTCTTGGGAAACAATGTATCGTTCAAGAGATTAAATTTCCAGGGTATTTAGAGGTTCCTTGTTGTCCCGGTTCAGCCAAAAAACTTTCACTTTCTCCGACTTCCTCCTGCACAATCTTGTCCGGCTGCAGGCTTCTTTGTGGCGGCCATTGCTGACCGCCACTCCACCGCCTTGGGAAAAGGGAGTTTAGCTGGCTGAGGAGGGGGTTTGCGATACCCCCTACCCGGATCTCCCCTGTCTTCGGTTGCCTCTACGGGGTAACCATATCCTCCAAATCCTGCTGGATTGGAGGCACTTCGGCGGTGAGCGCAGCGGGAACTGCGTACGATCGCAGATTCCTGCCGCCGCTGAAGCCTTGCAAACCGGAAGTCGATTTGAAAGGTTTTAAGTGTGATATGTAAGTAAAATAAGATGCAGTAGATATTATAGTTATAGTTAAATACAGCATGATTTGATCAGTGATATTACAGCAATAGTGATACAAAACATGCTTTCAGCAAATAAGGGTAAATATTTTCTTTGTACTATATACTTTTATTGAGGAATTATATCTGTCTAGTGCAGATAGATAATACTCAGCTTATAACAGTTTATTTAATGATGATTTGAAGTTACAATGCCATTGAAAAAGGTGACATGACCATTTTCAAAACTATGACTGTTACAGCATCCCTGTGGTTACATAATCAAGATTCGGATGCTTGTCAACTGTCTTATCTTTATGATAATTGTAATGTCTTGGGGTTATGAGATCACCTTTTGTGACCTCCTGACAAGCAGTGTCAGTGGGTAAACCAGATTCACTTAATGACCATGTTACTAACTTAAAAAGTGCAGTGTTTCATTTAACAACTGATGCAAGAAAGATTGTAATTTGGGCAAAACTCATTTAACAAATGTCTTACTTAGCAATATAAATTTGGGATTCAGTTGGTATCTTAAGTCGCGGACTACCTGTATGGTGTATTATGCAATATTAAATTCCAGGAAATTACCAAGATAGGTTATTTTGATATCTTTCAGATTTATTGATGAGCATCTTTCATGTTCACAGGTGAGAGACGCTGCAATTTTGGCACTTATGGAGATTTACAAACATGTAGGAGAAAAAGTAAGAATAGATCTTAACAAGAGAGGAATTCCTGCTGGAAGGTGAGTTTAATAGTTGTCATAAAGGCTATTAATACTAATACACCCACACACTCACACCCACACACCCACACCCACCCACCCATACACATGCATAATGATTATTATGCATGAACTTATTAAAATCCTTCATGAAATTTTTTTCTCAAGCTTGTATAAAGATTTTTTGGGAGATCAGTTGATCTAACAGTTGACCTGAAGACAATATTAACAACACCATCTATTTGCTAATTTGTGGCTGAACAAGATGGCAAATATTTCTCCTGCAAAAGCAACCATTTTGTTATGTTCTGCTTCTAACATTCTAACATTGAAGAAGCTATGTTAATCTATGGCAGCCAAAAATCTGGAGTCCAGTAGCACTTTTTCACATTAGCACATATTTTTTAGAAGACACTAGAACAGATGCATGAAATACAAGTGCCATCTGATAGCAAACTATTTCAACTTCTCAGGACATTCTATTATATAGCTCAAAGTAACAATTTCAAGAAAACAAAACAAAAATAACATCACAATTATAAGAAAAATGGCTAAACTCACATCAAAGGTTTCATGTTATCTCAGAAAGTCTCAACACAGATGGATTTTAACACATTATAGTTAATAGATAATGTACTTATAATTCATCTTATAACCTCAATTTACATAACAAACCTATGTTCCCCTCCTTTTCTATTTCATCCCAATTTACATGTACATCAGTTTATTCATAGTATGTATCTGTTAGAGAGCTAGTTTGATACAGTTTTTAAAGGCATCAGGTTAGAAACTGGGAGATTGTGAATTCTAGTCCTGCCTTGGACATAAAGCAAGCTAGGTGATCTTGGATTAATTATTTTTCTTAGCCCTAGGAAGGAAGTAATGACAAGGCACTTCTGAAAAACCTTACTAAGAAAATTGCAGAAAATTGTCCAGGCAGTCTCTTAGAATTGGACACGATGAAAAGATGTATCTGATGTTAAAATTTGTTAGACTGAAAAAGTGCTACATGTTTCTTCTGATTTGCATCTTTTCTTTATTGAGAAAGTAGAATAGCCAAACATTTGAAAAGCCTGGCTTTTGTTTCTTTTGCCATTGGTTTGACAATTTTTGTTGGAGTCTAATATCCTTTGAATGCTACTGGAAAGTAAGGTTGCCTTAAATGCTCAAAGAAATTCACAGGAAAATAATGTTGTTAAAATTTAGCCTTAACTAAAAGTATACGGATCAATAGGATTGGTTTTCCAAAATCTTGGAGAGTAATAGAAGTGAAAGTAAAATCTACAATAAAAATGCCTATATGAAATATTGGGAAAGTTCTAATGGAAAAGTTCTAATTAGATTATTCTAATAATCTAATAAACTCCCCTTTCCTTAAAAAGAATACCTCTATACATTAGAAGAAAGGTTGAACAATTTTACTAAGCTTTCCTCTCTTTTGCCATGAAAAATTCAATTACTGATTCCTACAGTACATTATCAGTCCCATCATACATGTAAATGTATGATAAATCAAAGCATATTTATTTTCTATATCCAATTTTGAGACTGTCTGGGGATGAATTCTGTTCTAGTTTATTGATTTCAATTTCCATTCACTTTGGAGACATAAATAGAGCAACAAAATGCATATGCTTAAGTACTTTAAACCTTGTAAAAGTAGAGTTATAAGCTATTATAAAGGAATTAACTCCATAAGTACTGTTTCTGCATTATAAGTAACAGCTGATATTTGCTATCAACAAATCTTGCTTAGCATCCATAATCAGTCTACTGGCTTCAAAGAATTAAGCTAATCAGGGATATGACTATGAATCATGGTGGGGTGCGTCCAGTTATTCTTATAGTGTGAAACAATTTCAAAGTATATATGGAATAATAATTATTGTTATTAATGATGCTATTAGGTCTATACACTACTGTTTTTGTATATGTAGTATGACAATCAAATTGGAGTCAAATCATGTCAGCATTGTGAAAAAAAGTTATGATAAATACAGAATGACTTATAATCATTTAACAACAGCCCAAAATTACAACTATCTCAGAAAAGGTGCTTTATGGCTCATAGAGCATTTTGGTCATTGTAAAACATTGCAACCCCATCGCTATCCTGGGTCATGTAATTGCAATCTGGATTCTTGGCATTGTATGAACTTATAATAGTTTGCCAAGCATCCTGCAATCATGTGATCATCATTTAGCAATCTTTTCTGTCAATTTCCTCAGAAAGTAAATGGGAAAGCCAGCAGGGAAGATTGCTTGTGTAGACTGCTGAGAGGACTCTGTCTTATGTCTTGGTACTGCCTGAAAGAAATGTTGCCTGACGGGAGTTTCACTTCTTTGATAGGATGTAGAAATGGAACTCAAATCCCAAAAATGTCAATTCCTCATGCTGTCAAAGGGGTTCTAGACATGGAGGAGAGCTGAACTCCTTTGGACGTACAGGCTCCATTCCTACATCCTGCTAAAGAAGTCCTCTTTCGTGCATGGAAGGGAGCTGAACGCTTTCAGAAAGCAGTTCTTCAGGCTAGTCTCCAGAAATGAGAGGAAGTTGAAATCCAAACAGAGAGCAGAGTCAGAAAGAAAGGTGAGGAGCCTAGATCCCAGCTCAGTCAGATGAGGGAGGCCTGAAATAATGTTTCTTGCTCACCAACTCCTGTTTGGACTTTGGCAGAAAATATTTTCAACTCCTGAAGGAAAAGTTGCAGTGGTAAGGAAATGAATGTGGGTGCCATAGAGGGGTGCTGTAGGCTGGCATAATTGTCATTCCATTCCAGAGCTAACAACAGTGTTTGGATTGTTAGAAGACAATAAAGACAATAATGACTGATGAAATTAAACCAAGGGAAAAGTACTTTAAGAGATTTAAAAATGGAATCGGATAACCTGGAAGATATTTTTGAAAGAGAGATAGGGGTTTGGGTGGATACTCTGGAGACCTGGCAGTTTAGGAGGATAGAGATGCGAGAAGTAACCAGAGTGAATGGTGAAGACACAGATATTGATAGAGATAAAGATCCAAGAGAGGCGTATGGGAGCTAAAGCCAAAAAATGAATAAGAATTGAAGTATTATTAAAACGAACAAGAGATGATGGATAGAAAGGAATTATAT